TCTTTAGATGCAATGTAATCTACATATGAAATAATGTTATTTGTAATGAAATAATTTTAAATGTTCCATAAAATTAATGTAATAAAAAATATTGTATTAACTGTACAAATTAGATCCAAATAGTACTTTTATATTACCTGATTTCTTGTACAATATTCTGAGCTTGTTCTGGATATCACATGTGAAACACTCCCATATCTCTTTCCAAATATTTTCAGCACTTGATAGGTAATTAGCTTCCAGTAGAGATGCAAAAAGATTCCTGCAATAGTTACCTGTACCCCAAGTAGATGCTTCTTGTATGCAATCAATATATTCTTTGTCATCATCCAGTAAACCTCTTACAAAGCAAGCTTCCTTGAATGTTGAGTACTCAGTGCCTTTGACTACATTCAGAAGAACTATCATGTAAAAAGGTTCACTTGAAGCTACAGGGACTCCATGTATCCTGCCAATACTTGATCCTTTTTTCCTTGGGACCCAAACTTTTTCTTTTTTCTTCCATACGAACTTGGATGGAAAATTTATATAAGGTTTCTTGCTTCAGGATACAATGTGTTAGCTTCCATCCAACCCAGGAATTTCGACTGTTTGGTTGAAGCTTTCACGGCGACATCTTCAACAGTTTGATCCTCATCATAAACTATACTCTGTTGGCCAGGCATATGGAAACTTAAACGCTCTACAGAATGTGATCTGTAATGGAGCTTAAAATTAAGCATTCTCCATGCAGGTTCACAACCAGATAGATACCTGCCCTCATACCAATCTCTGACTTCATCTTTTGGACCATTATCATATTTTTCTCTGATTAGCTCCCCATTTCTCGTATATTTAAAAGAAACACGATCAGATCCTTTATTCAAGTATTTGAATAAATGCTTTATAGCCCCAGCTTGATTACACCATTTGACATTTATATGTGCATGGTATCTAAGAGTCAAGTACCATTTGTAACCAACTACCCATCTGTTGTCAAATGTTGAACCATTTTTTTTGAAGGATTTGCCATCATCACGTCTCATATAATCAGGAAATCCATCTTCAGCTATGCTTGTAAAATTTTTAATTTTTTTGGGAAATCTCTTAGAACATTTTGCATCCACCATACATGGATTGTGAGGGAAATCATCACCGCAAGGTCCATGGATCATCAAATCAATTACAATCTGATATAGGACTGGGTCATCGTCTTTGTCGGGTAGTTCCGCACTTATGTATTTATTCATATCTTCTGCATTTGTTATTTTATCATCCCGATGTAGCCACACAACTATGTGTGCGTGTGGGAGACCTCCTTTCTGGTACTCAATAGTGTAAACACCTGCACCAATGAAATTTAAGAAATTGTGAGCAAACTGTTATGCAATGTAGTAATTAAATTTCATGGAATATGCGAACTTTAACGCCTGAACTTATGATGTAAAAGTACAAATCATTGGGAATAATATGTTTACCTGCTTTTACACGACCAAATACACGCTTATCTTTAATGTCCTTCATCAGTCTATCAAGTTTCATGTTAAAAACCCTTGAAACAATATCAGGCCTATCTTTAGGCTTCAATCCCCTCTTTTTACAGTACCTAACAATTTCAGGTCACTTGTTGTTGCATGTAAACATTAGGAACACGTCTGGGTAGCCGAACACCTTCACTATTGCCATTGCATCAATATAGTTCTCCCGTTTCCATCTGTCGCCTCCAGTGAAAGAGGACGGCAGTAAAATCCTTTGACCAATGTCTGATGCATCATTGTTGCCTGTTTCTAGAGATCTTCTGATGTTTTCATATGTTTCACATCGTAGTTTTTTCTGATTTCTCTTCACAAAAAAGATACGACCAGCTTCAACTGCACTGTAACCATTAACTAAAAACTGTTGAAAATACCACCATGCAAACAATAGCATGCTACCATCATCATCCTTTCCATAATACGAAAAGCAAACCACTCTCTCATACTCATCCATTTACGGGGACCCTTGTACTCTTCTTCTTCATTTTGATTTTCCTCCTCATCATCATCATCACTTTGATCATCATCATCATGAGAATCAGTGTCTGGATCTCCAAGTTTTATATTCATTCTGAATCTGTCTTCACCATACGGAAAAATGATCGGGTACTGTAGTGCAAGGTATGAAGGGTGCAACTCGTTTATTCTCAGCAATTCTCCAGACTTATATTGAACAATAATGTCTCTTGTCTCAAATTCATTGTCCTCATCTCCTGGAATTATAGCTTCTACCTCATCAACTGTTGGAATGTTGTATCTTCTTGCATCCGTTTTCCTAGCACTAATAAGCTTAAGCTTTATTTCTGTTGAAGAGTCCGCCTGAACTGTGTCACGTACCTTTCTGTAAGTCTGTACTAGGACATTGTGTTCATCTAATGTTTCCTTTATGTCACTAAAAATTTGAGCATTTAGTGTCCTCAAACTGTCTCCACTCTGACCAGAACTGCAGTTCATAAAATAAATAAAAATAAAACGGTCTTATAACTATATATATATGAAACATTTGGAATTATATTTAAATGGAAAAGCATTTTTTCAGATATAGTAAGAGTTGTACCTCAGAGTACCTATTCTGTTATTGACTTCATTCTGAGTGTCATAAATATATAACTGAGAGAACTTAGGAATTGAATCATCTTGTGGGAGAAGACTACCCATTAAATGACTGTTGTGTCCCTGCATTTTGAATACGAATGGAGCACGTCCATTGTTTATGGTGCTAACAATTTTACCACCCGTGGACGTGAATGCAAACATATTATTGTAGGTCGTATGTTCTCTAAAAAGTGTCTGCTTTTGCTGTCATTAGACATAAACAACTCCTTTAATTTTGAAGGTGGTTCCTTGAGTAAGGGTAGATGGATTTTGCCTTTTCTGCAACATATTGAAAATGTGGGGACTGCTGGTCTCCTTCTTTTTTCAGTCCTCTCAGCATACCACATGTTAGCCACACAGAATTTACATACATAATATGGATCACCAAGATCATCATAAGCCGCATGAACATTATTTGATTAAAAAACTCTTTTACTGCATTTAAAAATATACAAAAACTGTTATGTAAGTGTAAAATACCTTCGTTGATTGTATAACCTCATTTTGTTTGACTTTGTACTTGCCAGGATGCAACACAGTTTTCTTCAAATTCATTCCAGATTATTGGCGCTTGCGCTTCAAACCTTTAAGATTAGTGTCTGATGTTGCTGTGTAAGGAGACAACAGTATATAAATGTTACAAATTCAGAGGTATGTCCTACGTTCCTATATCTCATTATCTTTTAATTTTTGAAAATTGAATTATTATTATCAGTTTTTAATCTGTGGTCAAATTTGATTTGTTGCTGGTACTTATGTTTATATATGTTCAACACAAGACTAATAATAACTTATATAAAATGGATAATGACTGATAATAATAAAGCACCTATCGTTAGAACTGTGCCTTTGCAGTGCTAAATTATTATGAGTTTTTGAAATTGAATTATCTGTATTAGATATGTTGAAACCACCCATTCGAATGTTAGGCTTTGTTTGAACAATTTTTCCTCTTTTTTTATCCAACAATTCGTTCCTTTTCATTCTGGGATTCTTAGAAATAGACCTCCAAAATGAGGCTGAATCTGTACAGATAAATAAAATATATACATATGCAATTAAAATGACACAAAAACTTATTAACAGTAAACCTAAATTACGTACCTCTTGAAATTACATAATCATTTGAAACTAATTGTTGGTTCACATTTGGCATGTAAAACGAATAATGATTGTGGTGTGTAAGGATGCCGGAATGTCGACCGTTAACAACTTTGCCTTTTTTATTGTTTAAAAGTTGACGTCCGAACCACCTACACTCCTTTGGAGTAATATTTTGCCTGTTATTGCGTAAAATCTGTTTGAAGCAGCCATCTATAAGAAATCTGTAAATCACCTTTCTCCTTTGATCGTTTATGATTTGGGTTCGCTTCTTTCTGGCTGCTTTTGCTTGAATCTTCTTTCTTTTCGCCTGTAAAATTTGTGATCGGTTTTTTCTGGCAGCCTTTGCTGACATCTTGACCATTGTTGAATTGTTAAACTTCTGTGAATGTGTCAATGTACATTTAGATGTTCTTGAACTTGTAATATATGGTATTTATCTTATGTTTTTAAGTATTGATCATGTTTCAACTTTACATCTTCAAGGAATCTCATTTAAATGATTATGCATCTTTATCATTGATTAGATAATTTTGACTGTGATATTGTAGTTGTTATCTGATTTTATCATAATCTTAATTTTAAGGAAACTATTTCTATTAAATATTTAATATGGGACTGTAAAAGTATTTATTTTAATAGAGTCTTATCTTTATTAACATAAATACTTACAAATCAGTTGAAGTCATAGTAAAACATTCAGGAAGAAAATATCGTTACTGACCAAGAGAATAAAATAATTTCATGAAGCAATCACATATATGATAAGCAAAAGTTATTTAGTTCCCACCAGACATTTAAAACAACTTAAAATATTTTGAAACAATTCAAACAATTATGATGAAGATAGATCTAGGAAATCTCTGAAATAAAAAAAGTTACATCATTTTTTCTGGGGTGTACACTTTCGACATCCAGCATAAATTTAAGAACACTTCCTTTTGGAAACTGATTATCAAGCATCAGTGCGTTCCAATTCCCGATAAGCTTCAATTGGGACACCTTTTTATCATAATGCAGTGGATTGTATGATTTATGGAACTCCATATCATCATTGCATTAGTGTATATGACAGCCAAGTTTTTGGTAAGGATACTCCTATGTCGTCTCCAGAATTCGGAGGGAACATTCTATAAAAAAAAAAATATGGAAAAAAAATAAGTAAAGTAAATATAATTAAGGTGATAGAAAGTAAAAGATATAATATATTACAATGACTTTCTGCTGGCAGTGGTTATCTCCTATGGGGATCTCGAAGCAGTCATCTTCTGTATCAGTGATAGTAGGCTTTTATTCAAATCCTTCTTTACTGAAAAAATGCATAATTAATCGCATTTTTCCAGTATATGTGAAAACAACAAATTCAGAATGTTGTACCATGTCGGCATGATCTTTTAAAAGCTTATCCCATTGATACCCACTTACAACCAATCTTGCAGCATTCTCATGAGGAGAATATGCTATTTGATTGATATATGTATGCTCCTCACAGACAACCGACCAGTTTGAAAAATAACCAAATTTATCTGCATGGTCTTCTGTGATACAACTACTTAATCCAACCGGTACAACCTGTGTGACCAAATTGAACAAAACGTAAACAACATTTTTACCTTTCTATATCAGTCAAAATTCAAAAAAATTACAAACAACATACCATTTGAACCTTGATGTTGTTGATGTGATTCCATGACATATTTGGTGTTGGACTGTTGCTGAGAACATTATTTTTATCAAACATAAAAACATTCATAATCCCTAATTCCCTCACAATAAAATAGAGTCCTTGATTGAGAACTAATTTGTGAGCCTTCACAAATTCATACCAATTGTTTCCACCAATCCTCATGTGTGTCCAATCTTTATTGACCAAGCCAATGACTTTGTACTCGTTATTGTTACTGATCAATAAAATCTCTTTTGATCTATCTTCATCTTGAATGAGCAAAATTGAAGGCAAAGGAATTTCCTACATCATTTGTTCATTGATGATAACCACCACAAAAGTTTATTACATATGTAGTATCAGAAATACAAACTGATGCAAAAATAAAATATTATCAGAACTTAAAAATTACCTGGAAGTAGGAAAACCCTAATTCCACCCTCGCAAAACACTTGTTTGACATTGTTCCTTGTTGATTGTCAAATTTTCTTCAGAAACGTAATGTAAGTTGCAGAAGGAATTTGTAAAGGGTGGCTTATGGTATTTTCAACAGTGAAATTAAAGCCAGTAATATGTGTACTTGGGAATATAAATATGGTTAACCCTGATTTACAGGGATAACAATAAATTATAACGTATTTAGTGCTTATTCCATTGATAAGATTATCTTTTGTATTCACACTGATAAGATTAACACAACTTTTTTTCATTTAAAAGTTTTTCCATGGAATTTATACAATTTCTTACTCTGATGGTGACTTATATTAAGTTCAACCTTATCAGTGATTACATATTTGCAGGTTTAATTATTTTTGCCTCACAGTCGATATATTTGAATGAGTTTTCAAAAATTTAAAATGCGGATTATTAAAATTTGATTTTATATTGCGGATAAAGTGTTTATTGCTTTCATGAAACTTACCAAATACTCTTTGTTTTCAAATTTTAAGCCTTATGGAATGAACTTAACATTCAACATTCTGTAAAAGCAAATTTAAAAACACACTCTAACTATCTAAGAATCTGAAGTGCTTAACAATCAAGACCAATCCTTGTATTGCATAAGGCAAAAATTGATTGAGATAAGAAAGCACCAAAACTGAAGTGCTTATAAACAAAAAATGTTAAAATCCATCAAAAGAAAGTTCTGTCTGGGGAGAACAACATCATACGTTTGATGTAGTGCAGTTTTTATTTGGAAATTTAAATTCAAACGCAAATTAGATCATGACGATGGAATTTTCTTCTGATTTTCCTGACACATTTGTTCTGGTGGGATTTGACACTCTCAGGGTCTTGAGTAGATTTAGTCTTCTTTGGTGAGGGACTATCAGCAGTATCTTCCAGAGGAGTTCCAACATTAGCATTCTGGATATTAACATCCCCAGTACATGATACAGCAGTCTGCAAAAAAAGACATGTAAGTAAATGTATGTTTCAGTTATCTGGAATATATTTTATAATATGTAGTCCATAACGTATGTTTCATGTTTACGGATCACCTTTGCAGTACTGTCATCTGTTTGGGTCATACTGAGCCCAAATTCAATACTATTTTCTGCATCTATTTCCTGCATTATTACAGCATAAAAAGAGTACATGTGATATGTGAGACATTCTACAATTTGCTTATTTTTTATTTTGCTGTAAATAAAATTAATGTCTACAAAAGTGAATATTTAATGATAATTACCAGATCTTCAGATACAGCTTGTAGGTACTGTTTTATAATTGCAGCATCAGTAGTAACCCTAGCAACTGACATTTCACTGTCCATGTTCCTTATATTAAACTGTGAAACATCAAGTTTGAACAAACACTTTTTTCCTTTAAGCTCATCTAGCTTATTTGGATAATAGACTCCTGGTTCCTGTAGTTGTGGTATTTTCAATCAGAATTTATTGATAATGATTGTTAATCATGTAAGTAAAAATGTAGACTGATACCTCTTTAAGGAGTTCAGATGCAGTCTTGTTAATTAAATTGTAAACCTATCTGTCCCATAAGTTTACTATACCGCTGCCTGATCCATCAACAACAATTGCCTGTATTTTGAACCTGTCCATGGATTAACCAAATTAATATTAGATAGTGATTAAGTGAAAAATAATTTTTGAAATATACAGGCACATAAATGATCATTTCTGTGTGATGATAATGATCTTACTTTTAAGCAACAGTAGAAACATCACCATGTTTGCTGCATAGAAACTTCTTGATACCTTCACTATTGTTTTCACTGGTGACCTTTTTCCCCTTGCCACGTTGGTTACTTTTAGGCAATCCTACAAACCTGGTATCAGTGTCTTTACCAATTTCTGTCACCTTCTTGTTGCAGTCTCTACATCCTAAGTAGCACCAATCAAACTCCTTCACCAATCTGGTAATTTTAGCAAAAGTAACCACATAGCAAGGCTGTTTGAATTCAGATCAACTTAATAGTTAGATTCTTACAATATACACATAAGATTTTGAAGATAAGTTTCTGAATATGTCATTACCTCCTCTAACTCCTTAATCTCAGACACGGTTAACATTGATGCATCCTTCACAAAGTCTTCATAAGTATTATATCCAGATATGTTAGAAAGTATAGAAATCCGCTGGACACTTGCATCTTTGTCCTCAATATCCTCCAATCTGTGAAATACGAATAATACATGAATTTGGACAAATAGGTAGAATATGATTGGCCAAAAGATAGTATACAGACACATTTATTTAATAGAACCTCATTTTGTAGTCAGAAATTGCAGGCATAGACATGTCATTTAGGGAAATTCTGCCATTGTACATATTAGTGGTGACTGAAGCCCTTGCTGTTAAGATTTAAAAGACAAAAAAATAGTGAAGTTGGCAACAGGAGATTTAAATAAATAAAAATTTTAATTTTGATGCAAATGAAATGACTCACAATTCCACTTTTTGCATTTCACATATTGCACAATAAGCATTACCGGCATTACTGGATGATCAGCCATCATTGCTGATATGGCATCAGCATTTCCATTCCACAGGGTGATCTTCAACCTGTCAGCCCTGCGTAAAATTTCATGATATAAAAAACTTAATGACATACTGTTTGGATATTTATAATGATCATATTTAAAAAATAGATCTAAGAATGTACCTTTCATCCTCCAACTCCACAGATATCCTCTTCTTCTCCCCATCAATGACTATCTCACTAACACCAATAACATGTCCAATAACATCTGGATTAAACAAAAGTGTTAGAAGATTCACATGTTTAATTATATCAAAACAGAAATTGTAATAATATACAGATGGAAAATATATACCAAAACAGAAATCAAAATTCGCAATGAAATTTGAAATCTCAGCGAAAGGAGTGAATTCAAACACATGGTTAGGAATATCCAAATCAACAACAGCATCCACAATGGTGTTAGGTTCAAACACAATTTTGTATTCGTGTTTTGAACAACGGTAGCCACCAACAATGTTCAAAGCATGATCAAAACATGCTATTTGCCGAACACAGCCTTCTTCGAAGTAGTTGATAAAACTGTCCATAAAGCTTTTAGGGATGGTAGCCTGAATTTTTCCACCCTATATTCGAAAAAGAGATTAGTATATAGTAATGTAGTTGGTTTCTATACACTTCATAGTAATTTAAGAGTTAAAAGATCGAAATATATAATACCTGAGCATCAATGAATATGAGTTCAAGTGACTTGATTTCTTTCTGATCTGCCTTCATGTACATCTTCTAGATTGACATGACACGAACTATGATTCTGAAGTGTGGACTTTTGGTGCTTATCAAGCCATTAATGTCTGCAATATACTTTTGAGCAGCAGCCATTGAAAGGTGATGAAGAGCAGAATAGGTACCAAAGTCTGAAAGGGGTGATTCAGCGTTATTTGATGGTGGTTCACTGGTGGCTATAACTCGTGCCATATAAACATATTTATACAGGTATATTTGATAGCCTTGATAAGCATGGTTGTTTGATAACAAATGGCAAGAAAATCTGTCATATTTTCCAAAATATGATGATCGGATATGCATAATTTTGGTTACATGGATACATGGATTATCATGGTTGTATGATGATCAGGATACATGGATATAATATGCATAATTTTGGGTGAAAATTGATTTATGATCTTGAGTATAAATGTTGATTGATTTCTGCTCTGAGTTTTACTGATGGTTATGATGAAAAATGAATATGGATACCAACATAGCTTGATTCGTTAATGCTTGGAGATGGTAACTGTAAAATTTTGTGATCTTTTGTAGGGTTTTGAATCAGGGAGAGATAATTCGGAGGGCTTTGAATCAGGGAGAGATAATTCGGATGATCTTCATTATTTGTAGTTTTTTTTAAAAAAAAATTTAAACTCCAATGTATAACAGTTTAAAGGGGAGATTACCTGGACTATATATCCCTTATATTGGGAAGGATTTAATAACGTGATTATGATGTGATCTTTTTAACATTTTGGGGACTGTATTTTTGGGGACAGTTTAAAGGGGAGATTACCTGGACTGTATATCCCTTATATTGGGGAGGATTTATAACGTGATTATGATCTTTTTAATATTTTGGGGACTGTATTTGTGGGACAGTTTAAAGGGGAGATTACCTGGACTGTATATCCCTTATATTGGGGAGGATTTATAACGTGATTATGATCTTTTTAATATTTTGGGGACGTATTTTTGGGGACTGTATTTTTTTTTACTTCCCGGTTTATCACCCTTTGCCACGTGGCCTATTTTTTGAGCAAATCATTGAGTTTTTTTTGGTTTAGGCGGAAAAAAAAACTCTGTGAAGATGACACGTGTCCTAAGTGTTTATTGCTTCCATGAAGTGTAAATGGATACACTAAATGGCATCTTAAAAGCAAAACAAAAAAAAAGTAGTAAAGAGTTTATTAGCTTAAAAGGATTTATAACAAATGTGAAATATACAGCTCCTAGTAATAAATTTTAGTTATTAGGAATTTTTTTTTCTTGAAAACATGTACTAATGCATTCTTTTTTTTCCATATTGCAAATATTCACCGTCCGCAACATTGACTAATCCTCTTGCTCATTGTAGTCACCTCGATAGATATGAGAGTTGGACAAAAGATTTAAAGTTGTTCCATGACTATGGTGAGATTCGAAGAATCTACCTATTGTTAAAGCTGAATGAGTCTTTATTACTCCACCATAACGCTTTTGGTTTGCATTCCTATTATTTACAAACTGAAGTTTCGCCCAAGTATAACAAAAGTGTCATGTGCCTCATTTACATGTAATATGCTAACTTTAACTAACAGTAGAACTACCTAAGTGTCCGATGGGTCTTTTAACTCCTCGAAAGTTGGAGATACCAATAGAAATACATATAATAATGATAGCTTAATGTTTCTTACCTTCATTCAGCCTCCTTCTCTCCTCTCGCGATTTCATAAGAAAAAGACCCATACAGGGCCGAAATTGGAAATAAAAGCTCAAAAATGGCTTAAGGCAAAATTTTTCTTCAGATGTGAAGATGCTGAAGTTGCAGATCCAGCTGTTCGAGGAAGTAGATGACTCCAACTTTCAAGAAGACACCTTCAACTGTAGTTACATATTTATTTAAGAAGACCCTGCTCTTTTCTAAATCTTTGTAAAAACTTTATGTAACTTTGAACATTTTAGATATTACTTCATCTTCATTATAAATACTGCATGCTTGTTATAGCTTTCAAATTTGAAAATTGGATCTGGATCCAATAATTTTGTACTTTATGAGTTAGGACAACTCTAATGGTTAACGAGTTTACATCCATAATAAACTTGAAAAATGTTCCCTTGATTCAATAAAATATTAAAATGTCAGCCAGTTACAGGATCAAAATCTCTATCCATCCTTAATTAAAATATCAATAATCGAGATGCATGGAAAAGTTTCACCCAACTCTCAAGCCTGTCTGGAATTCACAACTTATTGTGCATCATGTGGCCTCTTTTTCCCCTAAAACAATTCATCATAACGGGTACTTTTCCAGCCCAATGCACTTATTGTTGAGTTTTCCGACTGAACTCGGAATTGGAACCAATCTCAAATCATCGTATTTTAATTAAAAGAGAAGAAGGAGATAGAGCTTCCATGTATAATTTATGTAAACAAAAGCCAAATGTTTGATTCAGACAAAGGATTTACTCAGACATTGTCTGAGTACTTCAAACTATAATTTAAAACAAACTTAAAGGAAAAGAGTACCTTTAAAAGCTTCTTCTTATTCTTCAAACTTGGAAGATATATTTACTGAATGATTTCTTTACAAGGGAGAGAGAGAGAATTTCGAAATAAAGGGAGAAGAAAAGAGAGAATGCTTGGAGAGAATGATGATGCCCTCCAAATGAGCTCCTACCTTCTATTTATAGACCTTTCTAAATACTATTTTACAAAAAATTACTAATTCTTGTCATTATTTGACATATTTTTCTTCAGATTTGACTAAAGGTGGGGGTCTACTTGTACAAAATTTCAAAAGTAGATTCCTACTTTTGTCAAATTTTCAAAAGTAGATTCCTATTGTCAAAATTTCAAAAGTAGATTCCTACTTTTGTCACTTCATGCTTTTTCTTTTCCTTTGGTGATTGAAATTGTTTCTTGGATCTGCTGTATGTGATTTTTGATGAATTCATCGTGATCGTCATCTTTTCCGGTGTTGGGATTCTCCGCCAATATTGCAAAAGAATTTTCTTCATTTGAAGTTATGCTTTTCATCGAAACATCCGATTTTTCGAAATATTATCATTGTCGAGATTCTTTAAATTTCTCATGAGATCTGCTTTAACTTCTTTCATATAGGCGGATATTATTTCTTCCTTATTAATTGCTCCTTCTTCAAGCTGAATCCGTTTTGTGATATGTTTAAACGGACTTTCTTCATCTGGGTTCGCTTTGAGCTGTCCTTTGTCTTGAGTATATTCCTTGATTTTCTGGGTAATTTCGTCCAGCAAATCTTGTCCTTCCATTCTTTTGGTATTGTGATTTATCTTTGTTAATTTGTCCCAAAATTTGGTGTAATATGTCTTATAAAGACACGGAATTTGAAATTCATTGAATCCCACCTCAGGGACCCATTTATAAATCCAAGGAATTGAGAATTCAATAAAAAAGTATAACAGAGTGATTGGTTCCAATAAAGTATAACAGAGTGATTGAAATTCATTGAATCCCACCTCAAGGACCCATTTATATTTTTCTTTTTGATTCAATAAAATATTAAAATCTGCAATAGTATATTTTCTTTTTTAGATTTTTTTTGACATATTGCAAGGTGTCTAAAAATGTGAAAAATCCAGGCATTTTTTTATCAATTTTCAGAGTAGTTTAAGAAAGGGAATTAGGGTTCTTCATTTGGTAAAGGCAATGAATACGGTGTATTAATCACACAGTATCTCAGACAGAATATGTCTATATTTATACAACATTTACATAAAGTCAAGACATGCTGACTTGGTTATTTACAAAAGAAGTCCTCGCCGCTCTACTTTATTACAAAAGAGACTAGAAAACTATTTAATTGTTCACTCAAGTCCCTTAGTCATCAACAGCTTCAATCTTTACGCCTTCTTCCAGATCCATAGCTTTTACAGGGTGTTTACCGCCTGCAACAATGACTAATCCACCTCGCTCATGGTAGGCACCTTGATGGGTGGAAGAGCTTACTGAAGGATTTAAGATTGTTCCATGCCCATGGTGAAGTTCGAGCCATCGACTTATGGTTAAGGGTGGAGGAGTCCTTGCCACTTTACCACAAACTCCTTGGTTCTTTAGATTTTAAATGTTAATCTCACCATTTTCCCTCTCTACTTCGTTTATATTTTTGAACTCTTTTTTCTACTCTACCTATAATATAATTGGGGAATATTTCTTAAGTTTTGGTAGTCCACCACATGTGCCACTTGCTTAAAATTAATTATGTAATTTCAGGTTCTTATGTAGAAAGCAGAAGCACAACTATTATTCAAAGATCTTTGATATTTTTATGATGGCATTAATATTTTTGAAAGAATTACTATCACATTAAGTTGTAATTAATTCTTAATTTAATTTTAAGACCCTTTCGTTTTTCCCCATTATTTCCTGACGACTATTCAACTGGCTACAGTAATATCTTTTAGCTTTCCATCACATTCATGCCAATAATATGCTAATAGGATACTGTAAAACATGCTTATTCATGCACTTTTCTTATATGAATTGAGTTCTATCAAATTTGAAGAATAATTTTCCTAACTTTTTCCCCCTTTTGTCATCTATATCCCACCCTTTTTAAAAGAAATTTGGGTTTTCAACTTATCCACTTTTGAGAGATAATAAAGACAGATTATTAAGAAATGGGTGAGAGGGTTGGGTGGAGTGATTAGGAGATTAGTATGGGGGACGGTTATTACTAGGAGGTTGAGGGTTCGATTCTCGCTAGAACCATCGAATTTTGAAAAAAAAACAATAAACAGATTATAAGTTTGGTTTATACTTACATTTCTTGATAAAGTAACATCTTGGAATTGTGAGGAGCAAAAAATGGCCTTACTTCTTCCAGTACCACCCGGTGATGACTTATGAACATGTTTTTAGAGATATCTCTTGAGGTTGTGCGTATTGTGGCGAGATGAGCATGTTTTTTTATTTTTTTTATATTGCAATTACACTTGCCTCTCTCTTTTGGAGTAATGGAGTTCTCCAGGAAAGAGGTGTGTTAATGCTCAGTTTGATGCTCTATTGTAACTAACTATAATGTATAAATTTGAATAGTATTTACTGTTTCCTTTTTTTTTTTTTTTGGAAAAGAGATAAAATTTATTCATTTACTGAAAGAATGTCCAATACGATTCAATTACATTCCATTTTAATAGTTGACTTCATTGTACTTTGACTCATTTGGAATAAATCATATATTATCACGTTCTTATACTCAAAACAAATACTTATCGTACATTCTCGAATGCATGCGCGAAGCACGTTCAAGTCCCCTAATTTTCTATAAATCGCCAACTTTGGGTTTTAACATGTTTATGGAAGTGGAATGGCCCAGTGGTAGTCATAACCTGCCTATAAAACTTTCTAGTACAGTTGCTCTTAAAATTTATATTTTAAGATTGTAAAATAATATATTAAAAATGTGGACACTATCTAAACTCTTTTCTGGTGTTTCAATTGGTAACCAAAAATAACATTACATTCTCGTTAAATTTGAGTTGTAGAATGAGATGATCATAACCTCGTTGGTAAAACATCCGTGATGGCAAAAAGCCTCGTCACACCAAAAAGAAATCACTGGGAGTAAATAGCTACAAATCAATAGAGCAGGGAGTTTAATTGCTCTAATTAAAGTTTAGCGCTCTGAAAATTTGGATCAGACATTAACCGAAAGCCCAAACTCCGAAAACTTTGCCGACACAAAGTCAGGCCCAATCGCTAAACCCTTCTCTTCAACAAGCCCAATACATAAATCTCGACTACTGGGTTTATAAATATAAAAAGAAACCCTAGACAGAGAACCAGCAACTCGTTTTCGTTTCTTCCTCTCGCTAGCGCACAGCTCCACTTTGGATCCCTAAGCTCAAAAGCTGGGCGCCATGGCTCTGGTACGTTATTCCGGCTGTCACTATCACTTTGAAATTTGATCTTTCCGATGGATCTGGATCTTTCGGTCGCTTTTTTCGAAGCTTAAATCTTAATTACGATTGTTTGATATGATGTGCAGTTCGTCTTGTACGGTATTGGTGCCAGTTTATGTTGATATTTGTTACTTTTTTTGTACTTTAATTTTGTTTAATTGTGCTTGTTGCCGTTGCTATGATTGGCTTAAAAGGCCGCCCTAGTTTCTCGGCTGTGTTTATAGTGAAAGGGCGTTTTGCTATTTTGAATTTCCTTCTTTTGAAAAGATCAGTGGCTTTTTCTTAATTTAGTTTTTGTGGGTTTTACTGGATATGTTAATTGTTGATTGATTTAGTTTTAGTGGGCTTTGTTGATTTTTATCGTATTTGTCTATGCGAAGCTTCAGATTCCGGCTGTTCATGTTTGGGGAACTTTGATGTATATGTTCCCCTACTTTCAATTGATCACCTATTTGGTTACAGTGAACTCATGGGCAAGATAAAAGCTTTGTTTTGTCTTTGCATATGCGATCTTTGTTGGTTGAATTTGGGTCTAATTGTGCAGAGTTAATTTATTTCATCCATGGGTTCAGTTACTTTTGTATGCGACACATTTTATTTGATTTTCCCCATCTTTAGTTTTTTTAGTTTGTGCAATGGAACTTTGGAAAGTATCATTAGTTTATGCATTTTTTTAAAGTTGATTTTTCTTAATTTCTGTGATATGCTTGTGGGAGCTGTTATTTTCCCAAACTGGTCCTGTTTGCCAGATTGTTAATGCGTATTCACTTGCTTCCCACTTTGGCTTTACCTTGATGGAATTATGTCATGAACTATTGCATTGTTTCTTTAGGTTGACATGATTAGTGCGTTTAACTTTAAAAAAAAAAGATATGATTACTGTGTGTCTTCTTCGAGTTCTTTGTGATATGGACATGGTTTAACTTGTAGTCACTTGCTTTGTATTTACAGACAATTCACGCAACAAGTGGAAACAAAAATGTTTTCAAAGCATTGATTGCTGCGGAGTACAGTGATGTCAAAGTAGAGTTGGCAAAGGATTTTCAGATGGGAGTTACCAACAAGACTCCCGAGTTCCTGAAAATGAACCCCCTTGGGAAGGTATATTATAGAATCACTCTCTGGGGATATGATCTTTTGCTGGTAATTTTTATTTCTGTTTTTGGTGTCTGAACTTTTTTGTCAATGTTCTTGCAGATTCCTGTTCTTGAAACTCCCGAGGGGCCTGTGTTCGAGAGTAATGCTATTGCTCGTTATGGTGAGTTTCTTCTTTGCTTTCTCCTTAGATGTTTTAATTTAGTTTGAAGCTGCTGGTTATTATTTTTCTCATTCATTTTAACTTGCTACAGTTACAAAGTTGAAGGCTGATAATCCTCTTTTTGGCTCAACTCTCATTGAATATGTAAGCATGATGGATTCCGTATTTGTTCTTTTTTTTTCAAGTTCAGCATCATCTGTTACTTTCCGGATGAGCATGTTTCTAATTAGTATCTTGTTTGTGCATTAATGCATTTGCTAAACAGGGCCAAATTGAACAATGGATTGATTTTGCTACCACTGAGATTGATGCTAACACAGGTCGATGGCTATATCCCCGGCTTGGTTATCAAGTTTACCTTCCTCCGGTATGGGAATCATCCTTTCATTAACTGTCGTCTTTGGTTTATTGGAAACCGAATGGAAGTGTGTGTTATGGTAGTGGTAACTTTGATAACCAATTGCGTTTGTCCCTGGTTCCATGATACAGGCTGAGGAAGCTGCAATCTCTGCGTTGAAAAGGGCACTTGGGGCTTTGAATACCCATCTCGCTTCTCACACTTTCTTGGTTGGAGACACTGTCACATTGGCTGATGTTATCATGACTTGCAACTTGTTTTTGGGATTTAGAAGTGTCTTCACCAAGGCCTTTACATCCGAGTTCCCTCATGTTGAGAGATACTTTTGGACTTTGGTCAACCAGCCAAAATTTCAGAAGATTATTGGAAAAGTTGAACAAGCTACTGCTGTTCCACCTGTTGCATCCAAAAAGCCAGCTCAGCCTAAAGAATCTGCCAAGCCCAAGGCCAAAGAAGAACCAAAGAAACCTGCCAAGAAAGAAGAGCCAAAGCCTAAGGATGATGTAGAGGAAGAAGAGGAAGCAGCACCCAAGCCAAAGGCAAAGAATCCATTGGACCTTTTGCCTCCTAGCAAGATGATACTGGATGAATGGAAGAGACTTTACTCCAACACTAAGAGTAACTTCCGCGAGGTTGCCATCAAGGGTAATTTTCTCCATTGCCTCTAATGTTTGTTGATTTGTTTCCGGAATTTTACTTTTTATTTTTTAAAAAAGAGATCATGTGGAGTTCATATAGTTCTGGCTTTTGCGAGTTGCAAGTAGAGCAACTTGATGCAAGTATTCTTCCTCATGGACTGTAGTTGGGTTGTAGACCAATTGCGGAATGGAGGGCTTCTTCTTCACCATTGTAGCATTGTAAAGTGGTTTGGTTGTGGTCTGTTGAAGCTGATTTATAGTTTTAATCTCCAAAATATCACATTATAGTGTAAGAATTAAATCACCATATAGTAATGTGGTTATACGTGCTTTGTAACTATGAGGAATGTGTTTCTGTGAAGACTTGTTAGTTCAATGTGGTTATATATCCGTTGGGTTGATATGCGTAACCCTTTGTGTGAGAACTTGTTTATGATTTGTTAGCTCATAATGCTGTTGGGTCAATGCTAACCTATTTTTGTTACCACTTGTGTTTTGTAGGATTTTGGGATATGTATGATCCTGAGGGATACTCACTTTGGTTTTGTGATTACAAGTACAATGATGAGAACATGGTCTCATTCGTGACCATGAACAAGGTTGGTGGTTTCTTGCAAAGGATGGATCTTGCACGCAAATATGCATTTGGGAAGATGTTGGTGATTGGTTCAGAGCCTCCATTCAAGGTCAAGGGTTTGTGGCTTTTCCGTGGTAAAGAGATCCCAAAATTCGTGATGGATGAGTGTTACGACATGGAGTTGTATGAGTGGAAGGAGGTTGACATCAACGATGAGGCACAGAAAGAGCGTGTGAATCAGATGATTGAGGATGCTGAGCCTTTCGAGGGTGAAGCTCTATTGGATGCCAAGTGCTTCAAGTAAAGAGTGGGAATGTTACCTGCTTAAAGCTTGTTTTTGTAACCTCGGTTTTGTCTAATCTTGGTTTTGTCTACTTTTTTTAGCGTATGATTAAATTGTTATGATTTTGGGTACTTTGTGTCAGAAATCCAGGATAGAACAACATAATGATAGTTGAACTTGTTTCTAAATTTTTGGTTGGATGGTAATATATTAGTAGTTTTGTGTTTCCTGTTGTTGATTTAAGCAAGTTTTATCCGTTTGAAGTTGCAGCAACAACTAACAAGTTGCTTCATATATCCTTCAGACCAGAGTTAAATTTTCCCGTTTTGAGTCTTTGGAAAATCTCTTTGGAAAATCTGTGTCCCATTCTCTGCTGTTACTATTTCCAAATGTGACCGGAGGAGGAAACAGAACCAAGTAATCTATGAATGTGCTGTTACTATTTCCAAATGTGACAGGAGGAGGAAACAGAACCAAGTAATCTATGAATGTAAATAATGAAACCGTGTTGAATGTTTTATTAGTCCAATTTTTGCGGGACAATGAAACATGGATGAGAAACCAAATGCCCCGCCTCATTTACTCTTCTTTCCCCTGCCAGCCCAAGGCCCAGTGAACTCCATGTTCAAGCTTGCAGAGCTTCTCTGTCTTGAAGGTCTTCAGGTCACCTTTTTGGTCACCGAATACATTCACCACCGCCTTCTAAATTTCTCCAATATACAATCTCGTCTCCAGAGTTGCCATGGATTTCAACTACAGGCTATAACTGACGGTCTCCCTGATGGCCATTCTCGTTCTGCAGATAGTTTCTTGGAGGTTTTGAACTCCCTGAAACTAAATACCATGCCACTCTTGAAAGAACTGTTGACCTCTGGCTCCTTCAGAAGCGATGAAGGATCATCGCAGCAGCCGGTGACGGGAATGGTAGCTGATGGATTGATGGGGTTTACATTTGACGTTGCCAGTGAGATTGGGATTCCAATTTTCTATGTCCGAACAATTGGACCTTGTTCCCTTTGGACATTCTTTTGCCTTCCCAAGCTCATCGACTCAGGAGAACTTCCCCCATTGGATGCTATCAATACCAGTATGTTCCAGATTCTCAATCATATGCTCTGTTCGGTTTTGTACTTCATTTGGCTGATTTAATGCTGGTGCTGATTGACTAATGGAAAGGGATTTTGTGACAACAGGTGATGATGATATAGATAAACTAGTCAAGGGAGTGCCGGGAACAGAAAGTTTTCTACGGCGACGTGATCTGCCGAGATTTAGTACTCTGGGAGATGCAGCTTACCCATTTCTGCAACTGCTTAAGAAAGAGGGTGAAGAAGTTCCCAAAGCCCATGGCCTTATACTTAACACCTTCGAAGAACTTGATGGACCTTTACTCTCCCACCTGGGTTCTTCCTGTCGGAATCTGTACACAATCGGCCCATTCCACGCGCATCTCAAGACCAAAAGATCAGCACTGTCGACGACAGAACCAACCGCTTCTACTAGTATTTCCAGCAGCTTATGGGCTGAAGACAGGAGCTCTATAGCATGGCTAGACCTGCAACAGTCGAAATCTGTTCTCTATGTGAGCTTTGGGAGCATTACAATCTTTTCTAAGGTCAAGCTCATGGAATTGTGGTACGGGTTGTTGAACAGTGGCGTGAAATTCTTGTGGGTGATTAGGCCGGACTCCATCGTGGGCGAAAATTGGGAGAGTCAGATTCCTGCGGAAGTGTTAGAGCAAACAAAACAGAGGGGCTACATTGTTGGCTGGGCGCCTCAGGAAGATGTATTAGGCCATCCTGCAGTTGGAGGATTCTTGACTCATAGCGGATGGAACTCAACCTTGGAGAGTATATCTGCAGGGGTGCCCATGTTGTGCTGGCCTTACTTTCTGGACCAGCAAGTGAACAGTAGGTTCGTGAGCGAGGTATGGAAAGTAGGGCTGGACATGAAGGATACCTGCGACCGATCCATTGTTGAGAAAATGGTGCGGGGATTGATGGTGGACAGGAAAGAAGAATTCTCCGGAAGGGCTAGCGAGTTGGCCGAATTGGCTAGGAAATGCTTGGTTGAAGGAGGTTCATCTTCCTCCAATTTTCAGCGTCTGATAACAGACATCCAATTCATGACTGGTGAAGTAGGCCGTCATAATCCATGACTGGTGAAGTAACAATACATGTTCTCAATCATACCATCATGGTTATATGGGAAATTAAAGTACCAAATTTAGAAGAGTTGGGGAACTCTGTTGGTGCTTCAGAAATAAAAGTAAGGGAAGCAATGCTGAAGCAAATCGATTGTCCTCATTTAAACAGGCTTCAGGTTTGTACCTTAGTTGATGAGTGTCGATCTACTTATGGTACTCATGAGTCTATGATATGAATTGAATCCAGTGGGCAAAAAATAGTGACAGTAAAGCTGTTGGCTGGAGTTCTTCCCATGTTCCGGACTAGGGGAATCACATATCAAAAAACTCAGAAGATCTCAATATACAATTGTTATATCCTACAGGCCAGTGATGTTTTGATGTTTGCCTTCTCTATTTAGAGAAACGGAATGATTCTGTATTTGGTTTTTTGTTGTGTCAAAGGTAAACTCTTTCTGATTCACAGGTTTAGCTGTAAGGTAAGTTTCGAGGGTATCTCTCTACTGCGTGCCAAGTGTTTCAAGTAAACCGAGGGAATGTTTCCTGCTTAAAGCTTCCGTCGGTAACTTCGGTTTTGTCTAATCTTGGTTTTGTTTACGCTTTTTAATCAAATAATCTCATTGTTATAGACTTATAGTATGAGTTTTGGTTACTTCGTGTCCGAAACTCAGGATAAAAAAAAATTTGTGTTTTATGTCGTTGATTCAAGCAAATTTTATCTATAGCTGTTTTGAGGTCATACAAGAAACCATCGAAAATGATGCTCATATTTCTTGCCGAGTGCTAGGAAGCTTTAACCGACGCCATTTAGAATATTCGTAGTATGAATGTATGATATTCAAAAGAGAATCCCATTCTCACAAATGAATGGCTTTTTCTGCCTTCACGATTGACGGCTGAATGGATGAGATGAGACGCACCCCATTATCCTTTGAAGATTGTAGAAATTATTAGTACTACTATATGTTTAAGCTAGTGCCCAAAAACCATTGTAGTAGCCGTAGAGATGAGATGAAAAGAACATTTCCTGGATCCCAAGTTGATGTGATCTTATGAACTCGGTGGCCTTCGTCAAACAAGAACGTTTGATCCTTCAATATCAAAACTCAACAAATTACCAAAATTCTGTTGGGATTTGTTTTCGCTATAAGATCATAGGTAAATTAAGATTATTGATACTCTCTCCGTTCTGAAGTTCGAGCACAATACTTATGCTAAAAGTGAATATCTAAACAAAATAATAATTACGTGACAGAACGAGTAATTTATTAGTTTCGAACTTATGCACGAATCACCCACTTTGTCCCCTTTCATTGAGAAATAGAATTTCATACGAATGTCCTTTAATTAGAAAATTCCATAATTGCTACAATATAATATTTTGGAAACGGGTATTTTTCTCTATGATACAAACATTATTGGATAAGTCTAATTATTTTCATTAAAAAAAAAAAAAAATTCATTGGAAATTTTGCGTTATAAAAAGGGGGAAAAGGAAGAAGAAAGAGTGCATGCATCTTAAGATCCAAACAACATAGACGTACGTACGTGCGTAGTCATGAGTCAAAAGTCAAAACTCCAAAGTCCAAGGCCCCAAGCCATGGGAAGTTTCCTATTCTAAATTAGCTTTAATCACTAATATTATCCCTCATTTACACTCGTGGTTCGCATTTCATCCATCATGTTTTTGAAAATTCAATTTTATCCCTAATGTTGTCATCTTGGTTTCAATGGTCCTTGCTTGAAAATTATACAAACTCCCGTATTATCAATCGGATAACGAGAGTCCAGATACAATGTTAGAGATACAATATTGGAGATAAAAATTTTGGTCGTGTCTCACTAAATATTGGAGTTGATCCCGCCCAACTATAGGCAATAAAGATATATAATATAGAAAGTTAAAAAATAATTATAATAATAAAAACTTGAGCAAGTATGCAACAACTTGCACACCTTTAATTATAATGTGCTTGATTACGAGAGTATCACAAATTCTTTTATGAATGAAGAGTAAAATAATTTGTACTATCTATGTTTTTAGTTTGTTCAATACATAAAAACTTACATTTCTTAATTTAATTTATTTCTCTAGACGAAAGTTTCTTAATAATCAATCATCGATCTCCGTTAGTTCATTAAGCTTTAACGTAGGTATGCGTGTGGCATAGTCTTGTTGATCCCAAAGGTGGCAGGCGATGAAGTAGGCACTTCGTGGAACCAAATTATCAATAATAATATTGTTGACAAACTGTTATATTAAACTAAATTCAGGGACTTCTGAAGTAATAATTGAAACTAACATTATTAACAAAAGAGATCCATTTTGGCAACATAATATGGTCAATTATCAAGATATATAGATGGGACTGGGACCCCTAGGCGGCCGGCTTAAAATGAACAGCGTACCATAGAACTCAATTTTAAAATTCTCCGGTAAACATCGATCGATCTCCAAACCTCTATAAATACATTGACCCAATTTCCTAATACGCATTCAATCAACATTCAACACCTACAAATTACTCTAAAAAAAAACTTACTAAGTCGTTTCTGATATTTTTCTTGTTGAAGAAGAAAATGGAGAAGAAGCAGACTGAAAATGGCGATCATGAAGAAGAAACGCAACCAAAACAACCAATCCCTTTACTCACTCCTTACAAAATGGGACCTTTCCAGCTCTCCCACAGGTAAACACAACATTATTCGTAACCATTTGATTTTTGTTGAGTTGCTTGAGAAGCTTTTACACATTGGTTGTTAGATTTATTTATTTATTTTCTCTTTTTCTTTTCCCATCTCAAGGTTTATGTATTTTGAACTGTATTTTGGGCTGATTAATTGTAACATTTCATTGATCTTATGGAAAAATATGGTGGCATATGCAGAGTTGTAATGGCACCTCTAACAAGGCAAAGATCTTATGGATATGTACCGCAACCACACGCCATATTGTATTACAGTCAAAGAGCCACTAAAGGTGGATTTCTCATCTCAGAAGCCACTGGAATTTCTGACACTGCTCAAGGGTGATTAAACTAAACCATGTTAATCTTGGATTAATTGATGTCATTTGACAATTTTCTTTTTCAAGTGTTTTTATAGTACTACATATGAAGATAAAGGTTATATGAAGCAATTAATTTATAATAATTTTGTGGTGAATGAATCGATCAATTTGAAGGTTTGTACACACGCCTGGAATTTGGACAAAGGAACAAGTTGAGGCATGGAAACCAATTGTGGATGCTGTTCATGCCAAAGGGGCTGTTTTCTTTTGCCAGATTGTGCATGTTGGGAGAGTTTCCAATAGTGGTAATAATCTATATATATTTCTTATTTGTTCGTATAATAATTACCATTATCACGAAAGCTGGATAAAGATTTGTTATTGTTGTTGTATATAAATATATATTGGAGTATGGTTGAAGAATCTTAATGGTCCATATTGATTTTTTTGAGTTTTGTACTAAAAATCCGTCCCACAAAAATAGTCTACATTGAATTTTGAGTTTTGTACTATTTTTAGTACTATTTTGCTATATTTGTCGGGATATTATATTGAAGTATATTGATATTCCATTGTGCACATTGAAATTTAAAGGTTTTCAGCCTAATGGGAAGGCTCCAATCTCATCTACGAACAAGGCAGCAAAACCGGTAATCAGCAGCGGCGGTTTTGAGGTTGAATTTTCACCACCACGACGGTTGAACACAGATGAAATTCCCGAAATTCTCAACGATTTCAAAGTTGCCGCTATGAATGCTATGGAAGCTGGTAACTAATTAACCCCTTGTTACAGTTATTAGAATAAATTTCTTTTCTTTTTTTATTCGTTCAATTTTTTGATAGTCAATGTTGCAACATATGTTTCTTTAACTGTTTCGATGAACGAAAAATATTGAAGACTTGATTTAATCATGAAGCAAGAAATTGTTGACTAATTAATCGATTAGAGGTGACATGGAAAACCGTTGAACGTTTAAAAATTCAATTTAATCGAACTTTGAAGGTAAGATCTGAATTATTGTGAAAATGACATCCATACATTTTGGCAAATTAAAAGCCACTTTGTGAATATGACATCTATTTGTTCTCAGTCCCATTTTTCCTTTAATTCATCTCATTTTCATTTTATGTTATTTTATTACATAGATAGGAGTATAACTTTACTTGAAATTTATTTGTTATCCCACATTTTAATTAATTAGCTCAAACAAACTCCTACCAATAATTATGCATTTATTTGTGTTGTATGATATCAAATTATAGGATTTGATGGGGTTGAGATACATGGAGCTCATGGTTTCTTAATAGAACAATTTCTCAAAGACCAAGTCAATGATCGAACCGACGAATATGGTGGATCATTGGAGAATCGCTGCAGATTTGCTCTACAAATTGCAGAAACTGTATCAAATGCAATTGGACCTCAAAGAGTGGGATTTCGATTATCACCTTGGACAGATTACTTTGACGCTAGTGATTCAAATCCAGCAGCATTAGGTCTATACATGGCTGAAGCCTTAAACAAATATAGGGTTTTGTACTTGCACGTTGTTGAGCCAAGAGTAACAATAAACGTGGATGAACAAAATTCATCTGGCCGGCGCCACGATAGTGACAGTCTAGTTCCGATTAGGAAAGCGTTTAAAGGGACTTTCTTGGCTGCTGGAGGATATTTGAGGGATGATGGCAATGAAGCTGTGGAAGAAGGTCGTGCCGATTTGATTGTTTATGGTCGTTGGTTCTTGGCTAATCCTGATTTGCCTCGACGTTTTGAATTGAATGCGCCTCTAAATAAGTATGATAGGGCTACTTTTTATACTTCTGATCCTGTAGTTGGATATAATGATTATCCGGTTCTTGAGGATGAGGCTACTTGTGCTATCAAAGCATGATCATGTATAACTATTTAAATGATAGGTGTGGAGATTGTTTGATCTAATTGAATAGAGAAAGCATATGCAGGTTATGATTTGAGTTAGTCAAACATTGTGCATAGCAATATGATGTGTCTTAAATATTGGATCAAACTCCAATTTGAACTTGTATTGTATTTTTTTTAAGGAAATAAAATTGAGCCGATGGAAATCATTGGCAGAGTTAAATTTGTTTGATATAACACATGTAGTTAGTTTCTTTTTTGTTTGTATAATAAAGGGGCGTACCCTAAGAATCGAAACACTACATTTTGTAGTGAAAAACTTTATCGATATTGTGTTCTAACGATGGGTTAACTCTTACATGTAGCTAGGATAAACATGATTGATCCATGCTGTAAATCGTACCCACATGGAATTAATTTATTAGCTCTGTAATTTCTTGTGAAGCTTTCAGTTTTTACTTGGGGCCAACTTTTGGTCATGATGTAATTTGTAGTCATACCGTCGTACATATTGAAGTTCAATTAGATCCCTCGTGCTATCTACAATTTACCTATGTACCTTTTCTTTTTTTTATAACGCCGGAAACCGATTAGAGATGGACAAATCCACGCCTACTGCAATAGACTGTAAATCACATGGGGAGGTAAACCACCCTAGGCATATCAGGGATGACAAGCTCGGGTGCGAAACCGGAAGTTCATTAGTGAGTTAGCAATAACAAGCCCCTAGAGGTGCCAATAGACAAGGTGAGAGCCAACCCCTCACTTTTTGTTGGAATGGGAGATTGAACGCAAGACCTCCTTGGAGCAAAGATGGTGTTACCACTGAACCAACTCCTCATTTGCACCTACGTACTTTTGGAAATTAAATTTTTTTTTGCTATTATTACAGTAAATGATATTAAAGAACCAAGAAATCGTGCAACCTGCACAACGTAATTTTTTGAATGATTTTTTTTTATAAATTAAATTTGATACAAGAATCGAACCTCGACCTCTTGGTAATAATTATTCCCATTTTAATCCCCTAACCACCCGAATTTTTTTAATGAATTTATTAACTGTATTTTTTACGTTCTTGTTCATAGAAGAGAGATATTTTGAACATTGAAATACCATCGACCCCAAAGAATCAAAAGGCCTATAGTTGTTAATGGAATTCCCTATCAATCTTCTGTGAAATACTCGACCCTTTCTATACCTCAATCTGCCCTAAATAGAAATATTTCGAAGACTGGAATGTGAGATCTCGTTTTCTTTTTAACAAAAGAAAAGGTATTGCCGCGCATATTATAAGTTTTATGGATAAATTCTTAATCAGTTGTCAAGTTTGGAATTTGGACAAAAGAAGTTCAAAGAAATGTGTTACATATTAAAATCACTAAATTGTTTTGTTACAAATTAAAATATTTTCTTTAACCATTTTGTAATGTACCAGTTATGAGATTTAGTGATACTTATTCTTTCAACACGCATTCCTCCTAATGCGCTTTTTTTGACGGACCATGCTTTAAGTGTAATTTTTTTTAAGAAAAAAATACTTGTTGGTTTGCCTCCTGAAAGGATCTACCTGATTCAAATTCAGATTAATCGAAACAATAATTTCGGACACCGAGTACATAATATATAAGAAAAAGTGTAAATTTTTCTCATTCACTGGATTCTATTCCCCAGAGCTAAAAACTAGGGAAAATCGATCTAGAAAAATGAGAACACTAATATTCTTTGCAATCCATTTTATTTTAATAGTTCACTCTCTAGTGTTATTTTAATTTAATGAAGTAATTATTAAGGTGAATTATTTTTTTTTAAAAAAATTGGTGGCTAAGTTCTACCGCGATTTCGTGTATCACTTTTTGTTTTGTAAAAGCTACTCCACACTACGTCGATCGTTCGAAGTCAAAAGGTCCTTTGAGCAGGACTGATAATGTCTCCGTCCATCCAAGCAGGAATAATTTGAATAATTAAATGAACACAATGGGTACATATTGCTTCGTCATTGATGATGAAATACAGTTAGTGGGACAATATCTTCTGCTTTATTTTTCTCACAAATTAATTTATATGATTTTTACGATCATAATCTGGTGGATTAGGAGAGGCCAGGTTTCCCAATGTTGTCATTGTAGTAATATAATGCGTTGAACCAAGAAATTATGTTGGACCCAGAATATTTTAATTGAGTTCTTTATAAGTTTTGATTTAAAAAATTTTTGAGTTGAATCTAGCTCTCTCTCTTTTTGCTGTATTCATTCCAGGGGAGATGAGAGACGATAGCTACTCTTTTTCTCTTAAAAAAAAAAATCTAAGCATATCTCTCCTTTTGATTTCTTTATGGACTGCTTTTTGTGTTTCTCTTTTGCGATCAATAGAATTATTGAGTTGCTATGAATATGTATAGAATAGGTTTTCACTAATATTGATTTTCTAGTGGTGACTATTCGCAATCCCAAGGAAAATTGTAGTGAATAAAACTTAATAAGTTTTTCCATTTTAAAGGAAGAAAATTTGATTTCCTTGTGAAAGTCAAATACTTATTCCGTCCTAGTTATAATCCACTTTGTTGTTTTTTTTTAAAAAAAAGATAAACTTAAATGAGAGGCAAGAATAGAAATCATAAGATTTATTACCCTACAATTAGATGAATATAAAATTGACTAATTGTATTCTCACAATAGTTTTATTCTTGACAACATCGGGTGGTCTAATAATATACTCCCTCTGTCCTAAAATTATTTATCTAATTTGGATATTTATTTTTAATACAATTTGAATTAAAAATAAAAATTCAAATTGGACAATAATTTCAGGACGAGGAGAATATAAAATTTGTGAAAACTATTGAAAATAAGAAATGTTATTTAATCAGACCCAAAATTCAATTCACGATAAATGCATTTAATCTAGACAATTCATTGCCTCCACAATAGAGTCATTATTATGAATAGTTCGTATCATGCTCCATGTACGCTTTATGATTTAGTGTTTTAGTTTAGTGAAGAAAACTGTCATTTTGTGTAACTTTTCCAACTCAATTACTCCCAATATCGTATTCAATTTGACGTACGTGATAACGTAATTTTAAATCGGAAGTTTCAACTCCAAATCATACATTAAGCTATAATTATTCGGGGGTTGTGAGAGAAGAAGAAAGAAAGTTTCATTCTTATATCACAGATTCGTCATTGATTTATTAATAAAAAAAATTTCCTCTATAATTGGAGTGGGACCTTTGGCGGCTTGCATGAATAGTTGACTGATAGACATCAACTAATAATTATATTATTAATATTTGTAGATCAAATCTTCAACCTCTATAAATACTCATCCCCACTTTCTCATTCTGCATTCAATATCCATACTTTTAATAAAACTGGTTTCTGATTTTCTGGAGAGGAAGTAGAAAAATGGAAAAGAATTCGCAGATCGAAAATGGCGATCATGAAGAAGTGTTAGAGCAACAGAAGCAACCAATCCCTTTACTAACTCCTTACAAAATGGGCTCTTTCCAACTTTCTCATAGGTACACGAAACAGAGTACTCTGTTTTTCTTCTTTTCTTTTTTTTTTTCCCCCGAAGGCTATTGTGATTCGGAACACAATGAAACAAACTGTTTCTAATTCTGGTTTCTAATTATGGCAAATATATGGGAAACAGAGTTGTGATGGCGCCTTTAACAAGACAAAGATCTTATGGGAATGTACCACAACCACATGCCATATTGTATTACAGTCAGAGAGCAACCAAAGGGGGATTTCTCATATCAGAAGCCACTGGAGTTTCTGACACTGCCCAAGGGTAAATTGACAAAATTCAAATGTTGATTATTGTTTTTTTTATTACATACTTTCCGTCCCAATTTAATAGTTTCATCGGCTTGAAATAAAAGGATTTGTTTTTTGAAATGAAATACAAATAGGTATCCGGATACACCCGGAATTTGGACAAAAGAGCAAGTTGAGGCATGGAAACCAATTGTGGATGCAGTTCATGCCAAAGGGGCTGTTTTCTTTTGCCAGCTTTGGCATGTGGGCAGAGTTTCTAATCATGGTAATTTATTGACCAGTTAAATAATACACTGTCTTTTCATCTTTTGTAAGGTCATTTTCTTAAGAAATCCAAATTCGTCAAACTCGTGATTTTTCTCTTTTTCATGTATATATTTGTCACTTTCAATAGAACATAATTGGTTGATTATTACAAGGTTCATAATTATGTTTCTCCCTAGTTAAATCTATTAATTAATAATCTATTCTTCCAAAATCATAGGTGCCCAGCCCAATGGACAGGCCCCAATATCATCCACAGACAGGGGAATAAAGAACAACGCCAAAACCAGTGGTTATGAGATTGAATATTCAACCCCTCGACGATTAAACACCGAAGAGATTCCTCACATTGTCAATGATTTTAAGCTTGCTGCCATCAATGCTATTGAAGCAGGTAACTAATTAACCTCTTTTGTCCAACTTGCAAAAAACATTTAATCCACCAACATTTTGGTAAAAAAAAAAAAAAATTTGATACAAAATATAACTCAAAAAAATGTATAATGAAATGAGACAGACACTGACTAGCCAGTGACATGCTCTCCCTGTTAATAATATAACAATTGTGTAGAAATTTATATGATCGTTATTGTATTAACTCGTCTTTAATCAAACTTGTAGGATTCGATGGGGTTGAGATTCATGGAGCTCATGGATACCTAATAGAACAATTTTTGAAAGATCACACCAATGATCGAACCGACGAATATGGTGGATCATTGGAAAATCGTTGCAGATTCGCCTTAGACATTGTGGAAGCTATATCAAATGCAATTGGACCACAAAGAGTGGGATTCAGGCTATCACCTTGGACTGATTTCTTAGATGTTAGTGACTCAAATCCAGCAGCATTAGGCCTATACATTGCCGAGGCGTTAAACAAATTTAATATCTTGTATATGCACGTAGTAGAGCCAAGATTAACTATAAATGTAGCGGAGAAATCCTCCGGCCGGCTCCACGATAGCGAGAGTCTTGCACCGATTAGGAAGGCGTTTAACGGGACATTCTTGGCGGCCGGTGGCTATTTGAGGGATGATGGAAACGAAGCCGTGGAGGAAGGTCGCGCCGATTTGATTGTTTATGGGCGTTGGTTCTTGGCTAATCCTGATTTGCCTCGGAGATTTGAGTTGAATGCGTCACTTAATAAATACGATAGGGCTACGTTTTATACTTCTGATCCCGTTGTTGGATACACTGATTATCCATTTCTTGATGAGTCTACTACTTATGCCGTCACAGCTTGAGCTGTTTTTATTGATCAAGGTGGAGTTTTTCATGGAGACTAGTTTGATTTGATTGGGTAGGAAAAATCATTTGCATAATAAGATTTGGAGCTAATGGGCCAACAAAAAGTGTTTTAGTTACACTAAATTCTGAAAAACTTTTTCCTTGTCAACTCCCTTTTTTTTTTTTGTTAATAAGGGTTCTTGTTAGTTACACTGTTCTTGAACTCACTGGTTTTACACAATGGTTCTGGTACTTTTGTTGGCATAATGTACTTGGGCCAATTTTCAGTTTAAGAAGAAGCAGTCTAGCCCAAATAAACTCATGCTTACATAGTTTTACTGTGGATCCATCTCTATTTTATTATGGGCTTTACCGCACCTCCTTTTCTTTCCCCATTTTGGATTGAATATGGCAAGTGCTTCTAAAGTCACCACAAAGAATGAAATGGTTAGAAAACTCAAAGAGGCTATTGTTACCGATAACGGTTCTATTTAAAAAATCTCCGTCTGCTGCATATTCCCTTGCGTCTTTATAATAACACATTTTAAATTTTCTATTTTTTAATAAATATATATACAAATATTTTATAATAATTGGCAGAACACAATATATATACATTTTTAAAGTTTTATTATCAATTAAAAGAATACAATAAATAAAACATAAGAATAGTCAAAATATCTTATAATAAGGACCGAAGGGGAGTATGTTAGTACATATATGCCTTCTGCCTAATTTCAGTAATAGACTTTGTCGATTTATTTATATTCAATAAGCTACGTTGCAAATGTTATTATATTATTGACGCAGATATTGAAAGATATAATTCTTCTGTTCCAAAATGATTGTGCAATTAAGATTTTAATTTTTAGTACAATCTATGCGAGAGTTGAAGATAATTAGTTCGGAATGAAAAGAGTAATAAATTAAAGTCGTCTTGACGAATGAATCAATTTATAAATGAACCTAAATGTTGGAAGCCCAATGCTTGAAAGCCCATTTTTGGTTCCATGAAAAGCCTTATTACTGACTCTCCTCGGCCGCCTCCATTTCATTTCAGTATATATAAACCCTAGTGATTCACTCAGCAGCCTCCTCCTGGAAAAAAAAAAGAAGAAGCTGAAAATATCTGTGTCTCTCTACTTCTTTTGTTGTCCCCTTCTTCAGTTTCATCATATTCTCTCGGTCTCATCCCATTTCGTAGAGAAGTAAAGTGAGGATGAGTTTTCTTGTTTTAAACTAGTCTTTTTTTTTTGTTAACCTTCAAACACAATATCCTTTTTCTTGGTTTTGTGCTCTTCTTATTGAGTTTTTTTCGGTCTGGATTGTTGGTTATTAGAAAGAAAGAACAGGAAGCGGAATCGAAGGAGCATTAACAGACAGACGAAACACAGCTATTTAAATCTTTTTGGTTTCAGACATGGACAATATAGCTTCTAGCTGTGTTTCGCATGTCTGTTAGTCGCTCCTTTGTTTCTCGAAACTTCCTCCACCTTAATTATGTATGCAAGTCTTGAAGACATGATCTTTTCCAGAACCTCAACTCACCGCCGGAAAAAGAACTAATCTGAATTATGACAAGAAATGCACAAACAATATTGTGAAATGGTCCACCAATGGATGAATGTTTTGGTTTTTTTTTTTTAAATAAAAATTAATAGATTACGTAGCACTTTCTTTGATTTTATTCACATATTGTATTTTTCCCAAGTCTTCACCTGTCCATATTGTATTAATAATAATTAAAAGTAAATAAAAAATAAAATTGATCATTTCATTGTGGGTTATGAATTCACACAAAAATATAAGGCATATAATCAGAACAAGAAAATTAATTTTTGGGATGGAGAGTACTTCAAAACAAGAAAATAATTTTAGATGGAGAGAGTTAAGAAATCTAAAAATACCAGGTTAAATTACTGTGGAAATGGTGGAAGAAACCTTCACCTGGATTTGTAAATTTGTACTTACATTTCAAGAAACTGAATTACCAAAACACCTAAATTTTGCAAAATTGGTATTGATGTATTAGGCTTCCTTTCTCTCCCTGAATGGCATTATTCATTCCTTTCACTGCCTTTGTTTGGAGAAATGGTCCTATTTGTGTAATTTCTTTACATTAAGTATTCACATACTGTACGAACGCTTCCCCCCGCCCCCCCCAAAAAAAAAAAAAACATAATTAAATAGAAATAATAATAAATAATAAATATTACTTTTCAAAGTTCAAAAATTATAGCCATCTTGTTCTCAACCCCTGATTGCTTGGTTGCTACAGTGACTTTATGAGGACTAAATGGACTGTCATCAGCCTTTTACTGCCCACAACTACCACTCTTACTGCCTCTTGCACTCAATGGACTGCTCATTAATTCTGATACTAACTGGGTTGCAAATGTGCATACAGTCCAGAAAAAAAGTTGCAATATGTTGAATCATAAAGAACGGTAGTAAAAAGAAGAGTTAATAAATTCTTAAAGTTATTGCATGCTGCAAAAAAAAAAAAAAAGAAAGAAATTTACCAAAAGAAAAACATAAACCCTGGTCATCTGTTTACCATTTTTAATCCATTTGTTCAACTTTGCACCATATCCCGAAAAATACGATAAAATTTAAGAGTTAATAATTCCAGAAAAATAAAATAAAATTTAAGTGCTAATAATTCGTGTAAGAAAATATCAGAAAAACACATACATATACTACTCCCTCCATTTCAATTTGTAGGTCGTTTTAGGTTTCGAGAGATTTTTCAAAATGCAGGTCGTTTTACAAATTCTATACAAATTAATGACTAATTTTTCAACTTTACCCTCAATAAATGATGCTAATCTATTTTCATTTAATCTTCTTTACGGTTTCAATGTAATTAATGAAGATAAAACAGATATTTAACACATAAATCAATTGTTAGATGATTATCTCCTTAGTTTATGTGCCAAGTCTAAAGTGACTTACATTTCGAAATGAAGGAAGTATAAAAAAAATTGCTTTATAGGACCTTTAGAAAAAATGAAATGGGGGAGAACATCGTCCAATATAAATATAGGATCAAATTCCGAAACAAATACAGTGTGACTTCTCAGCCGCTCATTGTTTTATACCCTAAGACTAAGATCCTTCCTCACTTTTTCCCGTCTTCTCCATCTTCTTTCTTGTTTTCCACTCGGCTAATGCGCAAACTTTACAGATCCATAGTTTAAAATTAAAAAAAAAAAGAGATCAAGAATTTTCGAAAGAAAGTGTTCGGTTACGATCTAGTTGTCGAACCATCAATTTCAAACTATTCCATCTATTGCTCATTTTACCTCCACATTTCTCTCTACATTTTCAAGAACCCTTGATACGGCAGAAAAATTATTGATGGTAATAGCCCTCTCTTTGATTAGGGGAAAGCAGATCTGGACAACAATCAGTTTTTGGGTAACCCGTCATACATGGGAACAGAAAGCTGGGAGATGCCGGTTGAAGATGGAGCTCCTAACAGATATCCGAGATCGTTCTCTTCCAAGCAAGCTCGGTTTTGTCGGAATCTTCGTGGAAGAAGAAGAAGCGGTTCACCAGCTACGAGATTTAGGGAGCTCCTAACAAACATGCGAGATCGTTTTCCTTACTATTCTCCAACTCCATCCCACATCCACGGACACACAGGCTGTGTAATGAGGAAGAGGACGGAATGGAGAATAAAATGAATGTGTGGTTAATCAAACCAAGGGTTCGACGGTACGGACGAACACAAAAAAACAACCAAAAAAGAAAAGCAGAAACAGTTATGATTTATAAAGGTAAAGTGGAGAATACAAAGAAGGCTCAAAAGAAGACATTGTACGCCCTATTCTTTTGGAATTTAATTTAAAAATGATTGTGTAGATTATTCCCATTTCGTATGAATTTCGGGAAAAGAGTTTAAGTTACAAGCATAAGAACTATTCCCTCTGTTCCAAAATTATTGTCCAGTTTGAAATTTTACTTTTAGTACAATTTGAATTAGAAATGAAAATCCAAACTGAACAATAATTATGGGATGGAAGGAGTACTAATTATGTAGCTAAGAAGAATTCTATATTCCTAGGTTTAAATATATATTTCATCATCGCTTAATGTAATGAAATACATGTCAATGTACGATTGATCACTGTGGAAATTTATTATGGTTGTTTTCTTTAACCATCTTTTTTATTTGTCGCTTATCTAAACAATTAACAAATGAAATAGCTCCTTAAATTTTAGGCTTAGCTTTAATGGAGCGAACCATCAATTTTCACATTATCCTTTAGCTGTGATTTCAGAATAATTTTTAAAGCTGTTTCCGTGTTTCGCAAAGGATGGAATTATGTAAATTAGTGGAGATTATTTCTGGCTCGTGGCTACTTCTAAAAGAGGTTTTTAACGTTCCAAGTCAATGATAGAATCAATAAATATATAAGGTGGATATCCAGAAAAAAGGTTGTAGATTTATTGATTCTATCATTGACTTGAAACGTTGAAAGTGGATATCCAGAAAAAGGTTGTAGATTTCTTTAACAAAGTACCAATTGTGGAAACTGAATCAAATTCAATTAACCTCCAAAAACGACTTTTATCATTAAGAAAGGAGCATTTAGTTTTGAAAATGGAAACTTACAATTAATAATTTTGTGCGCCTCAAAAAATAGTACATTTTGTTTAGCTCAATTTTTATTCCATATGAATATAAAATGCATAAATACACTATTTTGTAACTACTTCACATTTTCTTTGCAACGTTACAGCTCATTAGTAAACTTTTAAAAAAAAAAAAAAGAAGTCAAAGTTGAAATCCATTTCATGTCTTCTGTTAATAATCACTTAAATAGAAAGATCTTCATATATAATGATTAATTTTTACTGGTAATCTAAGCACTCAAGACTTCTCACAAGCCAAGTATCGGATGCATGTGATCAGAATGTAATAGTCACGCTCCATTTGCCCAAAATATAAAACACCATTGAAAATCCAAATTAAAAGTACACCTACCATTGAGACACAAAAAAAGTATGAACCTTTTGGGAGTTGGTTACTGCGGAGTGTTGAGGGAAGAACCCTTCTTCTCCCAAATCTAACTCATTTTTTGGCGAAAAGTAAAGTAATAATCAAAATACTACATTCAATGGTCAATGTTCAAAAAGTTGATGATCAACAAGTTATTTATGCTTTAATCACAAATATTCCATTTACTTTTTTTCTCATTTTTATATTAGCCCTTACACTCTTTAAAATTCTTAATTCTTTTTTTCCCCACTTTGTCTCTTCACTCTTTGCCCCTTCTTCCTTCCTTTTTCCAGTCGTGATGAGGAATGATCGGCATTATATATAGTATACCAAACCTTTCCCACCAAAATGAAAGACAACAAATCGTTGAAAAACAGTTAAAGAAGAAGGATTTAAGGGAAAATGAAGGAAGCAGTGTGGTATAACTGACTGTTGGTTTTAATAAGTCGTCCTCCTTGTTCTTCTACCTTTACATTTATCACTCCTCCGCTTTTCGCAG